ACATGCATCGGGAGACGAATCGGGAGCTTAGAGCTTGTCCCGTCTGGGGTGGTGCCGCAGCGCAGGCGGAGATACCTAGAGTCGGGAAAGCCCGTAGGTCACGTGGTCGACGCGGGATCTCCCGATCCAGCAGGGAAGACTACCACCAGCGAGGATGTAACGCTTACTGGACAAATGACAGTTGACGCGTCCGAAAACACCAATCAATCAATTAATTTTATATCCGTCGGCGCAGTGGTTGATTTTCAAAACTAGCTTAGTAACTGCGCTGGACGCACCCTCTGAATAGATGAGAATATCAGAGGACAGATTCCGCAGATCGACTGCATGCCAGAAGTACCTTAAGCAACGAGCCATGAATCCTTTGCGATCCTTCCTTCCTCTTCCTATGCCTTGATATGACCAGGCTACGGAGAGATGCCCCTTTCCATATGTCCCGCACCCTTGGTTAATGAAGTCCCCTTGAGGCGTTGGATATAGGGATATGACAGTAGCTGAGGAACCCCAGAAACGAAAATTGATGGCAGATGAGGCAAAAAAAAGACCCATCTTTTTCCCTGAATTAATGAAATACATAGAGTTCCAATTTTCTTGTTTTCACGTTTCGGTGTCTAGATTGAGTCTTAGCTTAAGGGGCAACCACATGGTTCTTTTCACCTGTTCCCCAAACCATCGCACTGACGTGGCACGTAAACCGATGTCTGATGTGGTACCTTGTTATTTCTCGGTCAGCCAAGTTCGTGAGCTCAAAAGTGATTAGACAGTGTTGGAGGTTGAGAGTTCAGGTTGCTGCTAGATCCCGTTAGCAGCAACAGCAGGAGCTCATTAGTCCATCAAAAAGCCTACACACATGTATCAATTATTCGTGTGGAGGAGGGAATCGGGGGAAGGATTCATGGTGCAACGGAAAAGTACGCCATGCCACATCACTGAAAACATCGATGCCTTACGAGATTCGAACCTTCTGCCTTGATTTGACGCCAGTTGGATCCGAGTGTCCCAAGCCCCCGCGCTATCAGGACGGACGGTCTCCGGAGCAATGTACGAGCATTTATCTCCACTACACGCAACATCCTCGAGTCGAATGGTGTACAGAGTTTTCAGAACAAGTACGCATCACACTACTGAGCGCAAGTTGAAAGGAAGTACGTCATTTGTTTCACGAGAGAGGGTTTCTGACGTCCACGCGGCTGAATGACAGCATGTCAGTGGTGGGAAACAATTTGGGAGCAACGACTGCGCAGATCGCTGTGGAAAACTTCGAGGACTTGTGTGAGAGATGTTCGTATGCAGAATAACCACAAGGATACGATACAATCTTTCCGCGAGCAAAGAACCCAATGGTTTTGCTGAATCGTTGCAACACCTCTTCGGAGTGTCTCGTCTAATTACTGTTTATCTCCTTTAACGGCGTTGCTTGGGTGAAAGGACACCAGAGAGAGCTGCCCTAGGTTAGGTTATATCTACCCAAGGCTACCAGAAAATGTTTTCCCAATGAAGGACAGTTTACTTAAAAAGGGAGGACATTTCAAAGAAAAGAATGACTTTCACATTTTTTATACTCCGTGATGTACGGACAATGTATTTAACAATTCCAAAGCATTAATAACCATTTGTGGTCAGACGGAAGAGCAGGCCTCATTGCCTAAGTCTCGCCATGTAAAATAAGACATTAATTCAATTCAATTCAATTTCATAATTTTTAAAAAGCGTATAAGACTTTGTATCATTAAAAATTAAAGCTTTCGATTGAATAACGCCCCGACACCCACCTTAATTATCCACCAAACAATAAGCATAAATAAGTTTTACATCACAATAAGCCTAATGATCTATTATGCAGATAATTTATTTGAGTAGATATTCAAGACATGAAATCCCATTAATGAATTAAATTACTTTAAAATTTTGCCAGTATTATCTTCAATTTATTATGACAAAATGGAGAACATTTCATATAGATTTAAAAAAGGAGAGAGGACAGGAAGACAATGTTTAAAAAGGAGGACAAGTGCTCCAAAAGAAGTGCAGAAGGCAACCCTAAATCTACCAAATCAATAAAAGTTCTCAAAGCTTCGAAAAAACTAGAAAAAAAGAATTTTCAGTTTAACGCGTGAAGAAATCGTACCGACCTTCACAACATAGACGGCTACAATGGTGTCAGCTCTCCACGGTACATTCTTTAACTGTATCTTCCCTGAACGCGTATTTGAATCCTGAAGTGTCCTGGCTCATTCAGGATTATTGTTATCCGAATTATAAGTCAATTTAAAAGTAACAGTAGTTAGGTCAAAGAGAGCGAATTGACACGAAGATGTCCGAGATCGTTCCCCATTAGAGGGTTTGATGTCCCCTGCTAGAGACGCAATAAGTTGCTAGGAAAATTAGTCCATATCGAGGAGTACCAATATTTGAGAAGCTACAGTAATTGCTGTCGAACGTCGAGATGGTCGAGGATGGAACGTCGAGGTTGGTGGTTTTTTTTTTTTTTTTTTTTTTTTTTTGTATGAATTATTCCTCAGAATGCCCGGTGAGGTAGAGCATACATTTATTATCATTTGTTCCCTACAAAAATTACTGCGTATTGAATAAAAGAAAAGGTACATTAACCGTATAACTTCTTCAATAACGTAAAGCAAACTACACCTGTTTGAGGCGGTGTCAATATATAAAAAGGCGGCGGCGTTTGAGGCGGCTATAAATTAACTTAATATCACAAATCCTAGAATGTTAGTAATTTAATTAGTTCATTAGTACTGGAGTTGTTTATCAACTGTCTATTATGTACTATGACAATAGAGTAGATATTTATCTCTCCTCTATGACTATGACTAACTCATAAACAAGTTGAAAACTGAATGCAGATGGAAATAAGCGAATGTTTGTTTTTTGCCAAAAATTGATATCATTCGCCAAGCGAATGCACATGTTGACAACGCTGCGCTGGCAACAGTGCGTTGCTCGCTTCTTCGTTCAATCTGACTTTTTCAAGAGTAGTTAAGGTGTTAGTAGAGCAGAAAATGCAATATTTCAATAGTACGTATCTTTTTCAAATAACTTGAGAAAGTATATGCTGTTGAAGAACCGCTAGTTTTTCTTATTTAATTGTAGGAGGCATTGATAGTGCGCATAACATTCTGTGATCTGATCTAAATTTAAATTATCAATAACTTCATTATTGAGGATACATTCAAAATTGTTGGTGAGAATATGATCTATTTCATTTAGTTCTCTCGCGAGGTGAGGTATATGCCCATCTTTATTTCTTGTGTTTGCAATTTTATATATTCTGGCTTTCTACAAAGTGAATTAATCTTGCATCTCTTTCATTACGTCATTACGTTGTCCCATGCCGAATATTTCGATTGCGATCTGGGTAGTTTTTCCTTCCTATTTTGGCTTTAAAATCTCCCATTAGTAGTTTTAATTAGGCACTCCGTACTTGCGTTTCGAGTGTTGTCAAAGAGTGTTATAGAAATCCTCTATTTGTTCCTCTGAACTTTGTGCAGTAGGTGCATGCACTTGAATAATTAAAAATGTTCGCTTCCTGATTTTCAGTTTTAGTACACCGATTCTATCGTTATTGCCTACTATTTCGTCTATATTCTCTTTAATTCTTTTGTTGATAATGCATCCTGTCATAGACTAAGGAGTTACAGTATATCATTACTGTATGATCCTGTTTCTCTGTGGCCTTTCGAAGAGGAAAGACTACCAGAGGAAATTAATAAACTTATTAAAGGAAAATTGATTCCATTTACATTCTATTAATAAAAACATTCTCCGTAAAATACAATGGTGCTTTAATATTTTTCTAATTTTGTATTTCAGCTTTTCACAATTCATTCTATTTGATGGTATTTTGTATTCCGGTTCAGGGTTGCCAGATGCAATAGCGTGAATTATGGAATGGGCACACCCAATTGTGGTACAAAATGGTACGATGGAAATGTTCAAATGAGTGGTATAATTATGGTACATTTTGTGTATTATCATAATTACCATATGTTTAGGATAATTACCCTTGTATATAATTTTACACTATAAAACTTTACACTGTATGATTCGTATATTCGAAAATTATCGCCACAATCACAGCTGTCTGTTAACTTGTACGATTAGGTGTAAGTTTCAGTTATGTGAATTTCAAATAAATTTAGAGCGTTTCTGTTAATCTGGCAGAACTGAATCACACTCATGAGAGAAATACGAGATGAATGGTTCTGAAATTAAACAATGAGGGATCGAGAACTAATGTCAAATCATCTTTTAGTATAAATCAATAACATTTCATTTTTCTTAATTTTTTAATAAAATGTCATGGAGCAATTAAGGTATTATGGTACATTTCTGTTTGGGATGTAATTTATGGTACGATTCCATGATACAGATACGATCTGGCAATCATGTTCTGATTTTAAACACATGGCGTTTTATCAGCTCGGACGCGGTTATCCAATTGGGAGCTTCAATTTCAAAAATTAAACCGTAACGAACTGAGCATTCTTCAATTCACCCATAGCCGACTATTAATTATTCACCCTCTGATTAAATAGCAAAATAAACAAGTGCTGTTATGGGTGCAGAAGAAAAAGTAATAGGAGTCCACAAATGCATTAGCAAATGAAGAGAGTGAAATATGAGGTGGAATAGATGGAAACAAAATTTTGCGGATTATTTACCACTGATTAAAACTTCCATGAAATTCCCTCTCAGGTATTTTCTAAGCTACACGAATATTATCTAATCACAGACAAGGGATTTTGGTATGTCATTGCGGCGTTGCAGACGCTTTTTAACATTTAAACACGTTTCTCAATGCAAAAGGTGAGCGATAGAATATCGAGTTGATTAAGATCACTCCATGATATAAATATATTCTTCCATTTTCAGCACTTTCTGTGCATTATTAAGCAAGTAGTTTTATTGGCAAAAAACTAGTATCTAATGCTCAAAGTGGCAACACTGCTGCTTCATTGAAGTTCACAAAGAGTGGGGAAGCTCACTCCAAACACGACTGCAGTTTTAATCGGTGTCCGGAAGACAAAGGAATAAAGCTGCTCATTCGGAGCACGAGTTTATTATCGAATCAACTAATACTGTATCGATTCTAAGTGTTATCGTTATTCTCCGTACATTTTTAAGACATCAGTCGTAATGGTGAAAGTACGTTTAGTTCTATCCAAACTTGTATTTGGTGCTTTATATTGCATTTGCCTGGACTACGGATTGTTTTGTATTATGGATTATCTCGCAAAGAAAAGAAAACCTACCGATGCAAGCGAAGTTATGTTCTTCACGGACAAAGGGGCAGGATGCCGACAACATATTTACGACAAATCTGGTTGCGGAAACGACGGCTGTGCTTATTCAAACATCAGGTAAGTTCAATCGAGAACGGTTCTGAATGCATTTCCATATGTCAAAGTACATAAAACAACCGACGTTTGCCCTAAGAATCAGAATATTTTTGAATTACTCCTTTTTCATTTTAGCATGTCTGACAAAGTATTTGTTTGAAGAACGAAGAATATTTTACGTAATTGACGTGCTTGAGCAACAAAATGATAACCTTTACCTTCCATATCCGAATTAAAGTTAAAAGAAGTAACACTAAAACAAAATAATGATCGAAACGCTCTACAAACACGTGCCGAGAATAATAGAAAGCAGCAATATGCGTAGGCAGAAACTGAGGCACACAGGCACTGAAAAAAACTTGACTTTCCTCTGGCTAACATAATTACAGAAATTAGGGTTATTACAATTTTGCTCTGACCTGTTCAATTTATCTTTTAAGTTTTGTTCAGATGTTAAACTGAGCACATATGAGTTACTATGTGAAACAATTTTTTTTTTCAAAATATACAGATGGAAAGAACTTAACAATATGGAAAAAATCAAAAAGCCTGGTGATCTTTTCGTGGTAGATATTGCAACATTTATTTCATTAATCTTGAAACGATATTACAATGTAGAAATTAACAGATGTATATAAGCAGACTATTCACTTGTCTTACGACCTTGCCTTGACAGGCGGATTGTTGACTTCATGAACTGTGCTCGCGAGACGCTGGACGTGTGCATCTACCTGGTGACCTGCCACGACCTGGCCAACGCCATCCTCAAAGTGCACGAGCGCGGCGTGCGGGTACGGATCATAGCGGACGCAGACATGGCGGAGGGCTCCGGGTCGCAAATCAGCACTTTCAAGAAGCAAGGTACGGCAAGCAATGGCTGAGCATTCCCTCGTCAGCAGTGGCGGATTAACTCTCGTAGGCGAAGGTGGATAGCCTCCTTCCCTAAGGTGACCAGACGTCCCGCATTAGCCGGGACAGTTCCTTTTTTGAGTCCCTGTCTCGTATTTTTTGAGTGGAAAACGGGCCAAAATGCCCTGTGTTCGTGCGAATGATTAATCGACATAAAGTTAAGTCAGTGTTAAATTTATCATGATGTATTCCGTTGGGTTTGCATTAGTTTATAAAAAGTAAGTGCGAGTATATCATACATCTGTACCAGGCAACGAGAGTGTTTCACTGAATATTGAAATCGAGAAGGGAGAGATTCTGGTTTTAGGAAGGGTAAATGAGCTATCGCGTAATTTCATCTTGTATATGCATTATCGCTACCGATATCCATTACCAAGAACTTAAATAATCGGTTTGAAATCCATTTGTTGAAAATCAATTATAAGTATATATGTGCACGTTTTCTTGACCCCCGGAATACCTAACCCCACTCCGTTAGTAGCCCAAGAAAATGTACGCGGATAATACAAGGATAAGGTCCCAATAAAATTACAATGGGTTGAGAGGTTGGGTGTGGAAAGAGACAGCGTTGCCGCATACACCTCACGGTATGCTTTCCAGGCCTAAATATTCCATTACAATGAATTTATATAGGAAGATTTTGTATGCAAAACCAAGATCAACTGCAATACAGATGGTCTTGCAAAGCTTCATGATATCCTTGCATCGTCATCTGCTCAACAGCGACAACAAAACTATCAGCACAGGCTTCCGGCTAAACAATTCATTGTAACACAATGACATCATTTTCGATACGTGTATTAATAATGATGGTTCTTAATTAACGGCATTCGCGGCATGGGATTCACTTGTTCTGTAATTTGAGGTGGCAACACTGTATTAACACCGAAGTTTCTGATTCTCCATTGATCATATCTGATTACTGCACTGGAATTAGCACGTCTTCACCAATTGTCAACCACGTTATTTTATTTGCAGAGTAACAGAAAAAGAAAATAGGGAAGTGCAATAATGTGCATCTTAATTTCGGATAACCATTAATGACATGTCATGTGTTTCGGTGCTTTGATGTCGGATTACCTTTAATGTCATATGAAACGTTGCTGCGGATCTCTCGTAAGTAGAACTAGAGAACGAATTTTTATGTAATTATACTCTCTATAATTACATATTTCTACTGCGTTCACAAAATTGTAATATTGGCAAATCGTCGCTTTCCTAACACAATATTAGATTTTTTCGTTACATATTTGGCACTATATTACATATTTTTCTCTTTTCTCAAAATATTTTTTATTCTATCAGTTTTCTTCTATTTCATCCGATAATTTTAATAAATAGAACTATTTTCAACAACAAAAAATACAATTTTTTTTCATTATTGGTGAAATCCACGAGTGAAAAGTATCATTGGCATCGTTTCGTGAATTTAACCTTAATTTCCTAGACATTTTGGCGATCGCCGACGGGTAGTATTCCGATGAGAATGTATGATTGTTTGCTGGTCGAAGATATCGCCAGTTTGTGCGATGGATTGTACTGATAAAGGTCTGGTTGCGAAACTATGGTCCTGGATAACAGTAGATGGAGTTTTTACCACTTATGCTGCAGAGTGTGCTTCAGCTTGTGTTCTCCAAATTATTTTTAAAATTTGTTTAGAACTTTTTTTATAAATGTAATTTTGATTTATGTAAATGTGTTTTACAATTAGACTATTTTAATATTATATCCGCTTTTACATGTTTATTACATATTTTTACCGTTTTCATTACACATTTTTGTACATGTTTTGTCGTTTCATACTACATATTTTCCGGTCTCTAGTATTACTCGCGCAACATTTCTTGAACGATGGATTGAAGAAATGCGGGTAGAGTGGGGACATTAGTTACGAAATCGCCCACTAGATTTTATGAAGCAATGCCAATCTGGAGAATCAGTCACGCCTTCCTAACGTTCTCAATAATTTGCGTTCTAACTTAATCAGGAGTTCGAATTATCTCCTGTGATAGATCCATACCTGCTTCGGTCATTTCTTTAGATTTTTGGAGAAAATAACTGATAGAAATTCCAGTCTTTAAAAGAAAATTGTTTCTATTTCGCGCCAGTGAAGATGTGTTTGGAATGTTGTCATCAGTGCTCGCTGCGAGCTTTTACCTTCATCTGTTTATTGTGCCAGAGAGGGGGAAGGAAGGTCATCGTTCATGAAACGTTGCTCGAGTAATAATAACTGTGCAACTTTCCTAGACCAATGACCAAGCTGCCCAGTTTCCCCTCCCTTGAGCAATACAAAGTTGAAGGCACAAGCTCGCAGCGAGCACAATGGCAACATTCCAAACATTAAAACTTATTGGCACGAAACAGAAGATCGTCAAAGCTATTTTCTTTCAAAGTCGAGAATTTCTTTTTGGGTTTATTCTCAATAATAAAAGAAATGGCTGAGGCAGGGCAAGATCTTTCATGGAAATTACTTTACACACCTGAGAGTTAAGAGGACGTACAGTAACGTCGAACACAAAATTATTGAAAATAGTTGTAAATGCATGTGAAATGGAAAAGAGGAATAAGATTTTGTTGTATCGTTTGAGTATCACTGTAGATCGAGCTTCAGCGTATAGTAGAGCTAGTATTTCCATGATACGCAGAATAAAGGCAAAAAGAGCCAATGACCCTTTACAATCCTCAGAAACGCCCGATAAAAAAAGGTATATCTAGGAAACTAATTTATCAAACTCCAAATAATTATCTTATTTAGATACAATTTTCACCAACTATACAAAAATCTTCAAATGCAAGGCAGATTTATAGAATTTTAGGACTTCAAAAAATGTTTGGCTTGTTAGTTTCTCTTAAGATTTGTCACAATTGATAAGAAATTATTGTAATAACATAAGATTTGTCACTTCAAACTCGGCTTCCCAAGTCACGAAGTTAACTAATCATGCGTTACAATAGGAGAGGAGTAAGTTTTAATACAAATCTGAGATAGAACATTTCTATCAAAGATGTACTGACAGCAAATATAAATTAAGCTATAATGAAAAAATATTGTGAATACATAGAGTACAAATCATAATATTGAATTATTTCCTGAAATTGAATTTTTCCCTTTATTCTTAATGAATGAATAATTGTCACTGATTATTATTATTATGACACATATAATATTCAAAAAACAAAAAATATTAATGTTTCTTAATGTTTTTATTTTAACGAAAATCCCTCTTTCCAAAAACAGTATTTCTGTTTGGTATCAACTCATTAGTTAAGAAAACTATAGTTTAGTTAAATAACATTTAATTATAATACAAGCTGATAATTTAACATTCATTTATTTTTAAACAACTTTGCCTTATTGACTTAAGAATGATTTGAAACTAATTTTCTGATCTGCCTTATTGACTTAAGAATGATTTGAAATTAATTTTCTGATCAGCAAAATATACCGTCTTCATTTTGCTAGGGGCAATGAAGTTTGTTGCATTATAATGACAAAATGAAATTATCCTTATTAATATTGTCAACACTAATATTTGATTTAATCAATTTTAATGACTTAGGATATTATAAATCAACCATTCACTCTCACTCTTGGAAAATTTGGTAAAAACGTGGCAGAGAGATATTTTATCTCGACGAATCGACAGCAATTTGTGTGACAAAAAATATGACGTTGGTGGAGTACACCCAAAAGATATATTATGGCTAAAATTGCTTCCCAAAATGGCTTTATTGAGGAAGCTCAATTATTTAAAGTCAATTCTACAACATGGAGTTATCATCGTCAGATGAATTCAGAAAATTTTGAAAGAAGTACTTGAACATCTACCTCTTGATTAAGTTATAGGACTGGCCAATGCTTCGTATCACAGCAGACAGGTAGAAAAAAACTGCAGATATGACACCAAAATAAAATGGTTAGAAAATTGGGCATGGGATTGTCCAAGAGAAAAGAAGCACTACATTAAAAAATTAAGGAAAATAAGCCGGCTCCTAAGACATATGTAGCTGAAATGGCAACAGAAAAAGGCCACACGGTAATTCGTGTGCCTCCCATATCAATGAAATTTGAACCCCGTAGAACTTACGCGGGCCAAAATTAAAAGATGTGACAGAGTAGAACATTTCAGGATATGTATCGGCAGAACCAAATCAACTTTTTCATATGTTGAAATCAGACTGGGCAGGTTACTGTAGACATGTACAGAAACTTGCAGAATATTGGACCAATGAGGGCATTGTAGAAGTGTCCATTGCATATATTATTAGTAACAAACTTCACGGTGTAGGGATGAAAAAGAAGATTCCTCTTGTCCAGAGAACTCTCATATTCTGATTGTTATGAAAATTACCAAATTATAACGCCAAATCCGAACTTGACGTCCTCGATTATGACTAACTTGCTCTCAGAAGGTTGGGTGGTTGGAAGGGCAAGTGGGGAACTCGATGTGTAGACACCTCCTCGTGGTGAGTTCTGGGTAATTGCGACTAGAACGCTTGTCAAAATTAGCGAAGATCTACACACGCCGACCGCTTAAATACATTTTAATTTATCTAGTATCCCTGCTGATGCCTAGCCAGAGCGATGACCTGGCCACACAAGTAGCTAGATTGACTGGTTTTTCAGTGGTTGGTATTATTTCAAATTCCAGTGGCCCACTTTGTAACGAATACCCTCACTCCACGCGCATTTCTTCAATCCATCGGTCAAAAAAAGTTGCGCGGTTGTTACAAAGCTTGGTACTAGGAACACTTATTCCAACTAAATTGCTTACATACGCAAAAGACCCGTAATATCTGAAATAATTTCATCATTTTCGTTAACCTATAACTATCAATGGAAGTGAGTGTGCAATAACATCAAATTAGGTGAGTTTATTTGATAAAAAATTATTGAACTTCTAATTTTGTTTCTGAAAACCACGTTTCCTGTTGTAGAATCTTCCGATCACAAACTAAGGTTAAGCGGTGCTCGTCTGTTAATGTAAAGTCACAACAAATTGTCATTTTCAGGAATCCCGGTTCGAATGAAGGACTCTCCTTTCTTGATGCACCACAAATACTTCATTGTCGACCACACTCTCTTGGTCACCGGCTCATTCAACTGGACTATGCAAGCCATTACGGGAAATTGGGACAATGTCATCGTGGCTGCTGAACGAGAGCTTCTGGAGCCATTCGACAGACATTTCTCTCACTTGTGGCAAGAGTTCGAAAAATATTCTTAATCAATATCTGTATGTAATTGATTTAAGCGTAAGATTCAACAACAATTTCTTACTTTTATCTAGAAAATTTAGGTTTGTTACAGGTATTAGATAGTATTTTTTTCTTCACGTATAGAATTATACAGGTTTCCGAACTTTGATAAGCATCTTCTCTTTTGTTCGTGTTTCATTTTTGGTAGACGATAAAGACATAAATGATTTTTACACCTCGATGAGTATACTTTATTATAATTTTTCCTAATCCAGAGAAAAAATAATTTTCTTACACTTTTTAATATGAAAGTTATCGACAAAACATTCAAAGCAATTTTTGCGATAATTTAAGTATTTTCTTAAATGTTCAAATTTGTCTCATTTGTACTCAAACGCTTTGGGTATTTTGAGAATCGTTTTAAAGACCATTCGCAGCAATCACTTCAATTTTTATTGATTAAATACTACTATTATATATTTTTTATCGATTTATATGTTAATGATGATCTTTTAAAAATACTACTTTGTAACATGATTTGAGCATCATAGTGTAGAAGCATAATATGTTAATTGCTCCTGAATGTAGGGTTGTAAGAAGTGTTATAAGAAAATGAATAAATAAGGGGAGTAAGATACTACAAATAATGTACTCGCATAATTAGTTACTTTAATAGCATAATAGTCTGCATTAAATTAATAATCTTTGAATTACTGATTGTTACATCAGTTTCAAAGAATCTGTAAGCCAGTGCAATGTAAGTTCGAAATGTGACTGAAAACTTCCATAACTTCGGGATTAACGCACTCATAAAAAATACTAACTCGGAACGATATGTATCACCTTCCAATGTTGCCACCTCCTTGTACCTTCAAATCTTTTCAAATTCTCATGTTTTTATGTGTAGGTGTATTAGTGATATGTCGAAACGTTTGGCCACAGAGGCCAAAAGAGGGCCTAGTTTTACTTTCTCGCATCTTAGAACGAACTTCTTAACAAGAGAAAGTTATATAATGTTGCGCAAAAAACGGCGAATTTTTGGTAGAAAAACTAATTACAGGGCTCTGGAAAGAAAAAGTGGGTAAATCCAGGCGCTAAATTCAGAGAAAAATCCTTGTAGCTCGCGGTGTAGCTTCTGGGAGCCTTTGATAGCAACAAATCGATTGACGTCTGTACTGAAAACGCCTGTACTGAACATGAAGCCCCTGGGACATTTTCAATTTTTTTCAAATGACGCCATATATTTTTATTAAATTTTGTTGGATATTCTGAAGGAGGCTTAAGAGAATGGCACAGGTCTCATGTTGGTTGAAAAAGGATTTTTCGAAAATTGCAAAAATTCAAACATTTTTGGGCGTATTCTTACAACTAAGTATTAAAGATAGAGCTTTTTGTCTTAATAAAATCTGTTCCTTAAAGATATATTTTGAAATAAGATCATGTAAAAATTCTCAAAAGTTATAATACTTTTTGAAATATGAAATAAAAGATTGCTAGACTTCAGTCGCCCGCTCCCCATTTAGGCAGTTGGATGCTACGTAAGTTAAAATCAAAATATCAATTTAAAGAAATAGGTTGCAAGATCAGCTGGATTCATGGGGGAATGCCAATTTTGGTCCAAATTCTGCCTACGGTTTCACCGCTAGCTTTGCTTACGAACGGACGGATGGAAACAAATATATTTTGTTGCAAGTCAATATTCTGGCATTAGCGGTTTCCGAGTTCGCAATCGTGGACAAAACGTAGATTCTGAGCAAACAACCCATTAGAGGATGTAATTTACCATGATCAATAATTGTCCACTCGGTATCAAGATCCCACAATAGGAGAGTTTTTTTGCCTGCTGAAATATCACCTCTTCTCATTGGAGCATAAAAGTATTTTTCAGGGGCAGATTTATGTAATTTGCTGTCCTGGGCAAATATACTCGTAGAAAAATAAAAGTTGCATCGAAAATTAGCCACCCCTCCAAAACTTGCCGCCGTAAGCACGTGCCTAGATGTACCTATTGATAAATCCTCCACTAGGAATAAGAATTGTCCATTTTCAGTATCATATCCCCACAATACGGGCCTTTCCGCCGACAAATCGCTTCTTCTTTCTAGAGCATTCCAACCGTTCCTCCACCCAACGTGCGTAGCTTAGGAGAAAAGAGTTGCGAGTGGCGCGTTACCTCGCCGGGCTGCGCGACGGCCGGTCCGATGGCGTCGTGCAGGCGCGCGCGCTGCTCCTCGGAGACGCGCGGGTGGTTGGCGGGGGCGTCGCGCACCAGGCGCAGCCACGCCAGGAACCACAGCAGGCTGAGGCACGTGAGCACGTAGCACAGCGCGTCGCGCCCGGCCACGCGCACCAGCGGCGCGCCTGCCAGCCCGGCCAGCGCCTGCCCCAGCGCCACCGCTGCAACACACACACACAGGGCCTACGGAGCGGACTTAGAAGATGTGTATGGGATTTGCGCCCAGGCTGCTACCCAAACAAATCGAATGAAGGTTAACACAACGGTGAATGAACAAATTGTTTGAGAAACGTAGCCCTGAATAAGAAAAAAATTAAATTTAATGTCTGTACTTAGATAACTTGACTCGGGATATTTATTCCGGAGAGAACACAGTATTATGTTATTACTTTAGCAGGTGCAGGGGGTGTTATTATTTATTCCGGAGAGAACACAGTATTATGTTATTACTTTTTCAGGTGCAGGGGGTGTTACTTAATAGCTGGTAAAACGTCCTTATTTGAAAGTAGTGGTGGGAGGGACAAGAGAGTGGTGGGGCAGACGTGTCGCAGAGGGAGGTAAGTCCGCCATTATCTGCACCCGGAAAGTGGCGCTGTACAGGGGCTTTTGCGAACAATTTTAAAAGCCAGAACGTTTGAATTTTGTGGAATTTGTTCGCTAAAAGGACGACAGTATACAACGGTTCTTCTCTTGGCTGTTCGCATTCTCTGCACGTTTGCCGAAGTGATTGATTTTTTGGTTTTTGGCAATTTAGTAAGAAATGCCGAAATATAGACGTTGTTGGGTTCCCAATTGCCACAATAACCAAAAGGGGAAATGCGGAAAAGACAAGGTGTTTTCTTTCCAGTGAACCTAACGGTAAGTGAAATGAAATATATGGCATGATTCTACGAATGGTTTAACATTATTCGAATAATGGATATTTTTATATATTTACAAATAACTGTGGCTATTTTAAAAAACATCTAATTTTGCTAACATAACCTAACTAGTTTTAACAATTGTTAACAAACAATTTATAATTTATAGTAATTTTATACCAACAAACCTTAAAGCTAATACTTATTTTTGTTCGTATTATTTAGTAATTTATGTAATACAAGCATTATTATATAATATAGGTGTATGAAATTGGTTGATGGCAATTGGAGACCCAACATTGGTGTTTCCATTGCAAACACTGATACACCAGAATGTATGTGTCATGGAACATTTCATGCCTAGAATGTTGACTGCAGCAGGAAGAGCAGGGTGGAATGCAGTACCTATCATATTCAATGATGTGTGCGTCCTGATTGCAAGAAGAAGCCACGTAAAATAAGCCATTAATTCAATTCAATTCAAGAAGCACTCAAAACATTTTTTAGAAGCATACCACCAGACAGGCATAAGTTTATGTTTTAGCCTCTATTAAAAAAATAAGACATTTTTCAATTACAATTGTATTCAGATCAAAGACCCATGTCTCTTTGATTTGCAGGGCCAGCTCACCTCTCTGAATGTCACAGTCACATGTTGTCCAATGTCCTCGCATTCCTGGTGAGTACAAAAACCATTTTTCACATTTTTAGTGAATGCACGGTTCCCTTTTTAAGTCAATAACACCTCCTTTGTTTGGTGTTACAGATTCTTCTCCTCCGGCTGGAGAGGAGAGAACAGAACCTGTAGGAGGGATTATTGCAGCTCACTCTTCCAATGTGCTATGTTCTAAGAAAATGTGTGCTTGCTCTAGTTGCATATATGAGGAAAAAAAACACTGATGACATGAAATATAATACCGTCAATTTTGGTAATCTCTTGGTATTTGCTGTGCAATAAATTTGGAATTGAAATGGCACTATAATCGTAGTAGTAGTTTTCATGAGTGATTTACATTACTCCAATGTCATCCCTAAAAAACAATATTTTAATAATTATATAAGTCATATTTAAATGGAGATGAGAATATGTGAGTTAAGTAATGATGTAAATGATATAAACAGACAGCCATAAATACCGAATTTTGAAAAATCCAGGTAGTTTATTTTCATTAACGCTTTTCATTATAACAATATTTCTAACACAGAATTATGCATGTATTCTTATGTATGACATAATATCTCTCCTTCTAACACATTCTGTGATGGATTTTTTTCTTGTGCATTATCACTAATTGAATACGTCCAACTGCAGGACTCCAATATTTCATTAATCAAAAGAATAGAAGAAATTTGTCATAGCAATGTAAATAAATCAGAAACATACTTGAATCAACTTGGTGAGCTTCACTTTCCTACACAAGATATATACAAAATTGAAGATGTTTTTTGTTTTATATAATAAAAAGATAATTTGCAGGATAAACTGTCTCATGTATGGCTGTTAATTTATAATTATTACTATTTTTCTTACATGTGCCCTTGTGTACTATGATACATAGCTCATTGGATAACAGTTTGGGATTGTTACTTGGAAATTTATATTACTTTCTAAACATTTTCACAAATGCAACATGACTATTTTTGAGATTTGTTTTAGGAATCGTATAATTTTAAATATGTTTTTATTTTTATATTTAGTTATATAAGACGTATCTACATCAATAAACTAGTACTAATAAATTTTGCATTTCCTGTTGCACATTTTCAAACCCCTTAAACTGGTTGTTGGATATAAAGGACTGACCAGCCTAGGCACGAATCTATAAAGAAATTCTTTTTTTATTATCATTATTGATATGTAAATTAGTCTTCTTACACTACCATGTATGAAATTAATTACCTTCCATGATATTGTATGAATACAAGAATTTAATTTATGTCTTATATTCAATTTTAGAAATATCTCTTATTGTGTATTGTATGCTTATATGTATATATTAATTATACTGACTTGTCATGCATGGGCGTATGTTGTATTTGTGACAAATTTATTATTATTTTTGTTTTGTTTAGCAGCAGTGATATTTAGTATAATGATAGTATCACAAATGATGATGACCACGATTTGTTCCTTTGTTCTACATAACAGGATTTTTTCATGCACATGTTATTTTTTGTACATGTACCAATTTTACAAATAAATATTATTTATGTAAAAACCTTTTTTTAATTTTCACTTCCTATCATTACAAATTTACTTCACTTCCTCACAATTACATATCCTTTAAGAATTACTGACTGCTACATTACCTTGGCATTCTTTTTATGTCAAATACATTTTATTTATTACATAACCAGGTGCGCCATATTGAAATTTACTAAATAATGTAATTTCAAAATCCGGTTCACGTCCGTCCTCCATTTCAATTGGTTTACTGCCTTCGATGCTTATTGGCTGGCGGGGGTCAAATATGGCTGCCTCTTTCTCTTTCTGTTGTTCTGTTGGGGTGGGAGATTCGAATTTCTCCCCTCACGAAAATAAGGGCTTTCCGTTTAACATTGACTGCCGTCTCTGATATATACTCTCTGATCAGGTTTGCTAAAGGAACAACATTAATACTGTGTTCTCTCCGGAATAAATATCCCGAGTCAAGTTATCTTCAATTAACTACTGGTATTTTTTTTTTCTTATGGAAAGAGACGAAGAAACGACAGTGTGATCACTTTCCACAGACATCAATACAGATCATAAATACAAATTAAATATGATTTCAATATCTCTAGAAATACATGTTTATCACCCAGAAGGAGGCACATTATTTTTCCTTTGGAAAAAACGGTCAAGGCGCAGGACATTTTCATGACCTGTGAAAAGCCGTGTAAGGGTGATATTTTTCCGAGAAAAAAAATGCATGCTCCACTTGCGCTATTGCAGCTGTAAAATTGATAAAAAAGAGGTATTCTGTGAACATAATATTAAGGTAGGTATACACAAAGAGCGAAGCTTACGCAGGTTGTAAATCAGCCGCCGCAAATTGTTCACCCAATGAAGTAGATTGTTGAGGAAAATTGCAAGCGATGTTTACTGCGGCATTTGACTGTGGATCGCTTAACATTTAGGGCATACCGAAAATTACTCGCGGTCGAAGTCGAAGAGTATCGCAGTGGAGTCTCTTTGAAACAAACCAATTGAGTGTTTAAAACGGGAGTTAAGACCGGGGATGCTCGCACCCTTGCTCTCTACGTCGAGATCTCGCATCTGATTTTTGAACTGAAGATAATTGACAGCTTCCTTCTCGTCACAGTACAACCTTTCATTCCGAACTATACAATGGATTTGTAGTCTTAGGAACACTAGATTTTCCTATAATGAGTTTTCCCCTGTGGTAATTCAGTAGAATCACATCAAGATTATACAGATACATTACTGCTCATGAGTCTGCGGCCGCGACCTCTTCGATTTGTTGTCTCGTCATCGCGATGTAAACAGCCGTCAGCCGCAAGGAGATAGTGAGGCACCCTCTGTATTATCATCATCATTATTATTATTATTATTATTATTATTATTATTGTTGTTGTTATTATTATTATTGTAGACCCTTGAGGGCCCCCTAAAATAATATTTGAAACTTCGAGGGTACCTGTATTGCAATAAGCGGGACAGATGGTGACCTTTATTGTGATATTAATATTTGTTCGTTTAGCGAACCTCGGTTGTGCAGCGCCTTGAAGCACCCATATTGTCTGTACATGGCAAGTGGTTTAAGCGTAGTTTAATTCTTATACCAATATACGACATATGAACCATCATTTCAGTCATAATCATCCATCAGGTCATAAAACGTCAATATTTGATTATTATATTTAATAATGTCTTTTAGGCATCCATTCACACAAAGGCGCGCGTTAATGTATGCCTGCTCGAGCGTTCGTGAAATGCTCTGATTTGCCTGTGGAGATAACGACAACGGGCGAGGTTTGATGGGCTACATTTATTAAGAAAGAAATGCTTTGTAAAAATCAGCTCGGTTATTTGCAATATTTTCCCTCCTTAATTGAACGATCATATTTATAAAACATGCAGCTGGCAGGCAGGTTGTTAAACGCATTGCACGAAGAAAAAAATGTGGTTATGTTGTATATGTATATATTTATCAAATCAGATCAGTTCAATAGTTGCACACGTTGGCAACATGACAACATCACACTGTGGCAGGCAGTTACAATAAAATCAACAATCCCAGTGAGCCTTTTATCATTCTAGTTTCGATACTTTGCATTTATTAAACCTAACCCAAACA